GCCCTTCACAAGAGTAGCGTGCTCTGAAACAGGGTTAAAACAAACATTAGCTATCCAAAATGATTTCTTTATCTCAAGCCTCATCTACCAAGTATGTTCCTTAAACTTCTGACATCTTTCTAAATTGACAGTTTAAGTTCAAATCTAACTTTCAGCACTATCATCCTACAAAGTTAGAGAGAATGTGAGTCTATTCAATCATTGCCATGAGTAAAGCACCAGTAGCAGTGCTGTTGGAGATTTTCCACTCTGTCACATCACATTTCCAGAATCCTTTGTTTGATACTTTGTAGATAGAGGGGAAAAATACCATGTTTGCTAAGAGACAGACAGACATTACTACAATTAAGTAATCAAACACCAGAATTAAGAAGTATATCTGTAATAGAATATTAAGCAAATAAATGGTTCAAGTAAACTGAACAATTGAGCAAAAAAATTCTTAGCAGCTGCATTTCTTTGCTTTCTATCAGGTCAACCTCCTTGCTGCTTGCAGCAGAACATACTATGCTCAAATTAAGATATAATGAAAGAAAAATTACAGAATATACATTATAAATCAGGTCTACAATGCAACATAAAGCTTGCGTTGTTAATAATTTAGAATTGTATATATGCACTGCAGTGATACTTAGCACAGATTCAGGCATCCATAGCTTACATTAACACATGTGATCATTCACAAGAGACTGAACATGTTCAAAGTTCAAGCCTCTATTTATTCTTCAGGTTTTATAATAGTCATTAGGTTTCCCAGACTTGGCAGTGTTTTTAAAATAAAAGAATATCAACTTGTGTAGTTATCTACTGTTTGAGGACAGCCCTTAAAATTCCCAGACAGTGAAGATGCCCAGAGGAATAAAGGTCAAATATTCCTCTACCCATTTCCAACATTATTCAAACTCTCTTGTCCACTGACTGCATGGGAGCAGGGAGCCAGGAAGAGGACCAAACAGCCAAGCTGTGAACCAGATTAATCCTAGAAGAGAGGCGACCACCTCTTAATTCCTTCCTATGTTAGCCGTACAGCCAAATGCTATTATGTAATAGCATTTGAACTGCAATAAAGGTAACATTGAATTGGAATGAAAGAGGTTTTCTTACCCCAAAAAAAAAATTGCATTATCAATGCAGTTGGCTTGTACCTCCCTGGAAATCAGTCAGTTACACTGAAGATTAATTTAATCCAATATTCTCTTTTACCTATCTTACTTTCCTCTCTAGGGCTGAATAATACAAAGTTATATTTTCCTGCATCTCAGTTTTTGTTGAAATGAATTAATTCAGTTCACTGATTCTCAGACTTTCACAAGTTTATTCCATATATTTTCTTTCTCTACAAGGACAAAAGCATCATAAGCACATAAAGCTTTTAATAAAGTTTTAAATATACCTGAACAGATGGGAGCAAAGAAAAAATGAGCCTATGCCAAGACTGTACCTCAGGCCTGACTCAAACCTTTGCTATTCCTATTTTTACAGATCCTCAGCTGAAAGACAGACTTGGGCTGTATTACAACGCATGCATGGAGCAAAGGTAAAACCCAAAGCATGTATCCTTTTGCCTAAATATATTTACATTTTCCAAGAAAGCTCTTGGAAAGGTTTTCACCACCTCTACTGTTAGGTATTACAAAACCAAGAAAAGTTTATGTGCTTAATTGCTACTGCAAAGTCATAAGCAAAATCTGCATGCATTTCCTAGCAAGGAACTCCTACCTCCGCAAGACTCAGCAACAGAATTACCCATAAAATCAGAATTGCTTTTTCCAAAACGTGCAAAATAAGGTTGCTCATTTTCTAGAAATGCTAGTAGCAGCAAGAAGAAACACAAAAAAACCCACGTAGGCAATGTCATAATCAGCATTTCTAAATGAAAAACTATCAAAAAAGGAGCCATTTTAGAGAGTCAAAGAAAAGAGGTTTAGAATGGGAAAACAAGAAAAAACTCCAAACTGCCAACAGCGAAAGATGCTTAACAATAGACATACAACTGCTAGAAACTTGTAAGATTGATTAAACTGGCCACTGATGAATTGTTTTGCAAAAAACCAAAACCAGAACTAAAAGAAAACCCAACAAAAACACAAACTGGTGAGACTTAGTCTGCAGAAAATGCATGTTCAATCCTGCTGCAGAACAAGCTCAAGACTTTGTGGTGCTGCACAGGCAGCAAAATTACCACCGGACGGAAACAGAGGCACTACCACTATACAACAGCCCTTCCTGTGAACCAGGCTTTGAGTGTCCCTCTTAAAACAGGCTACATCCTCACCTATAAAATCTTCATGCTGAAATAATGATCCCATTGCTATACTCAAGGCTTAATTGCTAGAAGAAATGAGGCAAAATGCAGGCACTTCTTTAGAAGAATGGCAACTACTACAGCCCTTAAGACAGTCAACTAAGTAACACTCCATAGGTCAAGTCTTTACTCCATTGTTGAATGATAAAAGACAGTTAAATTTATCACGAATTGCAGAAATTGAGGTGGGGTGTATGACTACCAAAAAAACCCAAAACCACAAACCACACCACCCAAAAATCAACTTCACTTTTCAAAAGCAGAAACTGGAATTTAAATGTCTTTACCAAGTGCCATTAATAACACCTGGAATGAAGGTGACAGAAGAGCAGAGTCATGGTTATGTAGACTTGCAGCAAAGTCACAAACATCAAAAGGAGTCACTGAAATCCAGATAAAACTACAGTTCCACCAACATAGTGCACTTGAAACAGACATCCAAAGTAGGACCAGCATGTGCAACTGCTTCCATATAAATGCTGTAAGTTTAAAAATAAAAAGGAGATGCTGAAAGACTACTTTTTGAGATAATACATAACTGAGACATCTTCAAATGTGAACAGATGAACAAAATGATGGAGACAGTATGATACTAAGATACAAGCACAGGAACAAGAAGAGAGGGATTGATTTGTCCCAGCAAAAGAATATTATTTTCTGTTAGGAAAGCACAGGATCATAACGAAATTACTTACCTCAACAGGTACTCTGCTACATTTTAATTCCATATTCCAACAAGAAGAAACAGCATATTAATGGTATACTATCCATCACTTCCACTCAATGGTGACAGCACATGTGAGATAATGGGAATGAGACTGCAAAGTAATAACTGATGATTTCAAATACTGTTGCGCAGACTAGGGGAAGAGGGCAGAGCCCAAAAAGGGGAAAAAAAAACCCTTCAAAAGTGGGAAACAACTCCTCAAAACCCCCAAACCAACCCACCGCTGAATGAATGACGGGGACAGATTTTTACCACAGCCGTCTGCAACCAGCTGAAAGACTACCAGAAGAAAAAAACATCCTGGTCTAACTCTGAGCCATGCAACATAGTTCAAGACGTAATTTTCCAGATAGCACTTGTGCTGGTTTGAAAGCAAACCAGTGATTAGACTCCAAGTCAGAAACACAATTTAATAGGAAAAACAAAACAACAAATGCAACAGTACAAAAAAGAAACCACTGACAGAGTCAGAAAGTAACCCGACACCCTGTCAGTCAGGGCGTTGACAGCAGTCCGATTAAATGGTGGCTGCAGTCCTCCTGCAGTGATGGGGCTGCTGGAGCAGTGATCCCGCAGATCCGGTCCTCTCCCGAAGGTCCAGCGGCAGCTCTTGTCCTCTGGGGATCCAGCAGGTAAAAAAGGGTCCCTGTGCT